TGGACATGCGCTTCCTGTGTGTACGTGACAGTCATTTAAAAAAAAAAAAAAACACACACACAAACACACACAAACACACACACACATTGCATAGCATGAGAACAAATTGTGATGCAGGAAACTGGGATTACAGGAGACTTTTTTTTTTTTTTAACAGATGTGACATAATCAGAGCCAGATTATTCAAATCCTGAATAAAATCCGTTTGAGACTGACACATGTGCATGTTTGTGCCGTTACAGGAGGGCGAGCGCGCAGGAAAAGGAGAATACGGACACAGTGACCCTTGCCGCAGGTGTGTTTGTATGTTGCGTTTGTCAAGGCCGCCCCCCCCCCCCTTAAACTTCTGGCCCTTGTCGACCTGCAGAAACCGAGGCCCCACGTGAAGCGGAGGGCACGAGGGCCGAGGGCCGCAGGTTATTTTTCCCCGCTGAACGCAAACCGATGGTGAGGGTCCAACAAACGACACACCGTTGAACTGTTTTGCTTGAACTTTGACCTCGTGGCCTCTTTGACAGGCGGCGGGCCTAAAAAGCCGACAGCGAGCGGCGCGCTTGATGCACGTGAAAGAAATCTTCTCCCAGAGGTGGGGGCAAGCTTCCTCGCGTCAGCCCGCCGACGCCCCGCAGCCCTCGGGGGAGTTTTTGCTTCAACGCCAACGGAAACAAGTGCTGACCTATCACCAAATTCCCCTGATTACATTGGACTGGGACAACGAGAAGCAGCCGCAGTGGATGAGCTCCAACGTGGATAATATCCGGACTGGGAGAGCCAAAGTCACCTTGTCCAAAGCATCCGAGGAAAATGTCAAAGGTGCGCTGTCAGTCAATGATATTTGGACCAACTTTCTCAATGGGGAAGGTGCGAGCCCTGACAATGAAAGCTCCGTGTGCGACGTCTGGCAGGCGTTTATTCGCGGGCCTCCCTATGAGGGCGACGGCGGCGTCCCCGAGTCGGAATGGTTGCAGAGCGCGGCTTCGGTTCCCCCGGCCAACGAGAACCAGCACGGACCTCAGAAGGTGCGGCCGGCCACCTTGGCAGCCTCAGCTGTCGGTCAGGCGTCGTCACATGCTTCGCCGGCTCACGTTTCCTTGGACTCCGAGCCCCGCCAGCTCTCAGAGATACGTGTCGGCGGAGGTGAAAACAGAGTGGCGCTTGGGTCGTGCACCCGGCCTGTCGCTGGCAGTGACAGTTCAAGTGAGTGTCACGAGCGCAAAGAAGACCGGATAAAAGGAGGACTCAAAGGAGACGAAGCCTCCATGCAGCTCGCGGCTGCCGGACCAACGAGCCGGAGGGGGTCGAGGACATCAGACGTGACTGCAGGGGCTCAGAAGGCCAGTGGCGACGGTGATCGGATTTTGCCGGGAGAAAGCCCGGAATGGGAAGACACGGATGACATGGTGGCATCCAGGGACACAAAAAAACAAGGGGCGGCGGACGGAGCCGCAATGCACCGTATGCGTGCCGTCACATCCACGGAAGAGGAAGTAGTCGGGTCTCCGAAAAATGAGCCGTGCGAAAATCAAACGGAAAACAGCCCGCTTGAGCCAAACGAAAGCTGCGGAATAAAACCTGCAGAGCGATCCGATCTGGAGCAAATAGGAGGTGTTGACTCAAAGACTGAAGCCGCGGCTTCACCTCATCAGAAAGAAACGTTTAATTGCACACTTCGGGCAAACAATGACGAATTGGGTTCACCGGGTGTCGTCATCTCCGACACAACCTCCATCATGAGAGAAAAATGGGACAGCCGTACGGATCCGTCAACGAAAAACGTCCATGACAAGCTTTTCTATCCGGATCAACGTTGGGGATCGACCCATGCGGAGGAACGAGGCGACAGCCCAGCAAGGAGCGAGATGTCAAGAGAGCTTTGGAACCAAACCGAATCATCCGAAAGAGTCAACTTCGATCGGGACCTGGAGGGCACCGGTGCGAAGAGCGAGGAATCGGACCCTATTGTGGCCAAAGCTTTCGAAGCGATTGAGTCCAGACAAACCGGAGACGATTCCGTCAGGGGAGTCCACGGTCACGTCCGAGCCAAGGCAAACGATAACGTAGTGGCGAGAGTTGACCAGGATCCATCTGGACGCAACGAGATCTCCACAGAGGAAAGCGTGAAGTCGACACGCGGTCCCTCCGGTGGCTTCATGTGGTGGAGCGTGCTGTACATCCTGAGTCACATCACCCGAATTGTCACCTGCAGCCTGCCGGTCGCCGGGTTTGTCGTGGTGGTGGTGGTCCTGTACGACTTCCCGGCATTCTTTGCGGTCTACGTGTTTTCCATGGCCTGGTGGTTTTGCAAGTGGAGAGGCGCTCGGGGGGCAACAAACAAGGCGGATGTCAGTTAGGTCCGAATAAGATGCAGCTTGTGCGTGTGTGTGTGTGTGTGTGTGTGTGTGTGTGTGTGTGTGTGTGTGTGTGTGTGTGAGAGATAGAACACTATATTTGTACTTTTGTCTTTCCTACCTTTCACGCGGTGCAGTGCTTGTCCGACTGTCTTGAATAAAATGGACCACTGGTCACATCATTTTTCGGGGCTCCAGAACCATTTTTTGCACTTTTGGCAATCGAAACAAATCAAGCAGGGACCGAACGCAGTTCATCTTCGTCAGGGTTTCGGCTCTGTGAATGGCGGTTGGCTGTTTTACATTTTGCCCGCAATTAAGTTTCCCTAGCAACAGCAAAGGAACACTTTACCCGCGACGTTGCCGCTTAGATGCGCCATTCACGCGGATAAACTCTGTGAACCGTTCCCTCCTCGCCTCTGTCTCTGCGGAGCCATCCATCGCTTGGCTTTAAGTGCCTGTCGACGAGACTTGGAAGCAAGTCAAATTTTGGAGCGCCGTTTTATCACGGTTCCTCGTGGGAGCCACTGAAGGCAACGCATCGCAGGGCTTGATGATAGAATCACTTCAAGTTGGTCATTGGTCATTATTTTTATTCATTCTTTTTTAAAAACAAGTCTTCATGGATTTCACTCCAGGCAGGCCTTCCCGCGTTGTTATTTTTCATGCGTCATCAATCTATCTCTGTCTCGTTATGACGTCACAGACTCAAAACGGGCTCACGTTTCGACGAGTGTGTCATGACACCTCACCGTGGGTGGGAAAGCAGCTCGGCGGCAGTCACTTGATCCGGTCCGGGGTATGTCAACCTTTCGTCAAACGGGCGCCAACACCACGCCGGCCGCCTCAAAGCAGATGGCCGCTCGGCGGCGTCGGCGTGGCAGAAGGCCATTTCGGAAGGCGTCCACTCCTGTTGTTCACAAATCACAGCGCGTCACCCGCTAGAGGTGGATGCATTTTAATCGAGTGATGTCATGATGAAGAAGCGAGCTCATCAGTGCTCCGGGAAGGCCTTGGAGGTTAAAATAGGGAAACAATATATCACGGATCATGTGAGTGGTATTCTCCGACATGCATCCGATGCATTCAAGTGTTGGCACTGCTTCCACAGTTCAGAAGAGGATTCATTGAGGGGGCGGGGGGCAAACAAAATATTCTGAATGCATGTGGGGAAATGTATTATGGTCCGCTCATGCCTTGGCCTCCTGTTTTTCTTCAGCTGGAATTGCAGGGGGGGTCTTCGTCAAGGAGGAGGGAATTAGGAACAGTTCCAAACACCAGCAAGTGTTACCATAGACCTTTTATATTTCTGCTAGGGAGATATACACATACACACGCACGCACACACTAGTAAGGGAACACAAGGAAGATTGGGTTTATGTTGCGACGCCACTATTTTCCTGCAGGTGTCGCTGCAGCCTCACTTATGACCCATCACACTCGTGTGCTCAATGGTTTCGTGCGCCAGAAACCAAAAGAGAAAAATCACCTCAAGCAAATATTTGACACCATGTGTATAATCCTAGACTGGAGATGTCATTCTGAATCATTTGCAGTTGTGTGACGCAAAGAGCGACAGACAGACAAACAATCTGGTCGCAAATTCCCCTCCTCCCCCACTCTCTCCCACTGTGGCAAAAAAAATAATAAATTCAGGAATGAAAAGAAGGAAGAAAAAAAAAACAGCGTGCAATGAAGTGCACTGCCGGGGACAAGAGGTTGAATGAGGACATGGTGCGTGAGTGGATGAGAGCTCTAGTGGAGGCTGGGCCTTGCCGCGTGGCCCGGGGGGACCAGAGGCACTCGGATGACAGATCGCAGACCTGACAAGACTGCATTGTCCGGCCTACTCCACCATCAGCGCCATCCATGCATCCATCCATGCATCCATCCTGCACTTTGCCACCATGACGACCTCTGACCCTTGCACCTATCCAATCCGACTGCCGCTCAACATTCCCCCGTTGTCCTCGAGTTCATATGTCAGCAAAGCTTCCGGCGACTGGTGCTTCTGACACTTGGCATGTGGAGGGTGGGACGGAGGTGGGACACCGAGACCACACAACCAATACTAATTGCAGCCTGTTTGGGGATTCATTGGCGTGTTGCCATATGGCTGCAAATGCCACCGCGATGACCGACGCATCGTTCGGTACACCCGGCACGATTTTAGAGGAACAAATTGCCACATCAAGCAAGCGATGTCATCTGTCTAACTTTTGGAAGATTCATACGGTAAAGGACAGGGAGAGGCGGCAGGGGCAGAAAGGGACTTGAATTAACAGAATATATTCCACACTTGAATCTTTTGAAAATGTCTAAATGTCTTAAGATGATGATTCTGCTCGTTCTCCACAGTGGATTTTTTAAGCAGAAGGCACAGATTTTTTTTTTTTTTTTTGTGGCGGTGAGGGGGAGAGGGGGATTCATTGGGGGAGTCTGCTGCCAAGTAACGATGTCATGTTCGGAGCGCCATATGCACGTCTGCGTTTGTGACGCCTCGATTCACATGTTGCGAAGCGTAACAAGGCCGCGTGGGGGAGGCACACGGGGTGGAGGGTGACGTACTGCGTAAGTGGAACAACCTTGCGCCTCAGCCTCTGTCGAGGAGATGTCTCGGGTAGCGACACCAATGACATCTCTGATCTCAAAAGTACGCAAACGACACCGATTCTCTTTTTTTCTTCTTGACAAGAACCGTTGACAGTTCGTTTGAAGTGCGTGTTTATGTGCGTGTTGATTGGAGAATTTTCCTCTCACGCTTAGCAAGGGTTTTTTTTTTTTTGTTTGTTTGTTTCAATCATCCAATTATTCATGTGCCATTTTTATATTCACTCACTCCAATTTGGAAATCCCTGATGTACACCAATCATGAAATCCAGCATATTTTCTGGCAGCTCATAAAGCCTCCTCCTCTCCCTTCCCGGCTGTTTTGCTGCAAAAAGGTCACGCATGGAGCAGACTGTGTCTATCTCATCCGATTCTACTTTCATCTTTTTTTTTTTTTGCTTCGCATCAACTTCCCCCCCTTACCTCCCCCTCCCTGTCTCTCCGGTTTCCTCTTCCGTCCAACGTTAGCCTCGCTTTGCCGCCGTGATCTGCAGGCTTTCTCAAATACGTTTTTGGATGCGTCCAAACATATCAAAATGCGTTTTAATCAGGCGGACATTCCTCTGATGTCTGACGGAGAACACGAGCGGCATTTTAATGAGGAGATAGGAAAGTACACATTTACTGAGAACTTAATTCCACTTCTTTTCCTTGCTCTCTTTGCCCATCTTGCGACAGATAAATGGACGAGCGGTTATAAAAGGAGGCAAACGGGTGAACGAAAAGGACAAAAGCGCTGGGCGAGCAGATGGATGTCTGTAGAAGGCAATGTAAAGAAAAGACGGAAGATAGCGACACCGCGTCCCTGCGTACAAGGGTGACCTGAATTGAATCGATTTTTACAGCAGTGGCCTTGTAAATCAACGCAAAACTCTTTCCGCGTCCGTGTGTCTCTGGATGGCAACAAGTACACGCACGCACACATTTTTTTGAATCAATCAAAGTGCAGCGCAACTCGAATGACCTTCATGCAACTACTCCCTCTCCCATCGATGAAGAAAACATGATTAACTTGAATTAAAGAGCTTCGTTGTCAATTGTAAGGGAGCGACATTATACCCCGCGTTCCCCTTAAAATACCATGTGGATGTGACAAAATGAAAATACGGCCGATGTCCCCAGACATGATCTTATAAAATCACCTTTTTGGAAGCATTTGGCCTTTGTATTCACTCAGTAAGTTCCGCTCCACAATTGCACCTGTCCAACACATCCCTTCAATACATCCCATCAAAAACACGCAAAAATAAAACAAAAATCGCATGTTGTCAAAGGGGCAAGCAAACTGTGCCAGGAGAATGTCACGGGGTCACAGTCATGTTCTCTGCGGGACTCCAAAGTAAAGAAATGGGCACGCGGGGACAAACAGCATGGTGTCTGTCATCAACGTAGCTGCAGCCGGCGCTAACAGGATGACGACAGAGGACATGATTTTACTTCATCAGTGAGGGAGAGAGTTTGCGCCGTACGTAATAATACATACATACATACATACATACATACATACATACATACATACATACATACATACATACGCACACATAATTCGTGCAAGCTACACTATCGCTCTCTGTCTCTCCATGAACTGTCAAGGAGAGTGTGAGGGAAGACCGGCCTGTGTGTTACACTGCTTACAAGGCTGGCGAATTGTGAGGACCAGTGTGTGATGTACTGTAAATGTGTGTATGCGTCACAGTAAGTAAAGTACTGTGTGTGTGTGTGTGTGTGTGTGTGTGTGTGTGTGTGTGTGTGTGTGTGTGTGTGTGTGTGTGTGTGTGTGTGTGTGTGTGTGTGCGTATGTGTGTGTGTGATGGACAGAGCAAATCTACAGCAAGTCCAGTGGATTGACATTGAGTGACAGGTGAGCGGAAGCAGCAACTCAACCTGCTGTTGTCAGCTTACGGGGAATCAGTGCTTCTCTGCTCTCACTGACTCTTTGTACTAATCTTTTTTTCAACACATCACACTCCAGCTGAACCCCGAACACCCTTACATGCGCTTGCTCTGGTTCATTAGGGAGATTAGCACGATTAAAAAGACCGAAGATGAAGAGGACCGCTTATTCAAAAGCTCCGAAAGCAGGCAGGTAAAAAATTTGTGAGCATGCTCAAATGCATTTAGGAGCAACTTGTGCTGCGCAAAAATAAATAAATAAAAATAAATTGGCCCCTATTTTTACTTAACTCAACTCAACTCAGCTGTATTTATAGAGCACTTTAAAGCAACCACCGCTGTATACAAAGTGCACGGAGCAAGAATAATGCATAAGGGAGTAAAGACTCAAAATCAAGTCTCATGCCGAGTCATAAGCCAAAGAATAAAAAAAGGAGCTATAAGTCGAGTTTTAAAGATTTTCAGTGAGGAGGCTTGCCCAACGTTCACCG